TCTCTCTCTCTCTCTCTCTCTCTCTCTCTCTCTCTCTCTCTCTCTCTCTGTGATTTGTGCCTCCCTGTGCCTTTAAGGTATCTGTGGAAACCATTCAGCCTGTGTAGATGGTAGTGATAGATAGGACTGACCTCTGCCTCATAGGGCAGACCAAGAGGAGAGAACAAAAATGCACAAGTCTTGTCCTGTCTGGTCACTACTGTAGTGTGATGCCTGCTGCCCTTACTGAAGCCTGTCCCTGGAATATTCAGCCCCAAATCCACAGAGATGGCTGGAAACACTTCAGTGTGCAGTGAGGCAGTTCAAGCAGAGTGATTGTATTTTGTGTTCACCATTTTCAGCCCCTTAGAGACATGGGTCCAAATCAGGCCAAGCTTCTAGGCATTCGAGAGGATGAGAAAGCTCCCAGGTTGCTGTCAAGGCCAAAGACCTGAGGAGAAAAAGGAGAGGAAAGTTTATGAGGAATCAGCCTTTCTGGAAGCCCACTGCCCTTCTGTTCACTCACTTCCCCAGGCCGCTTTTGTCTGGCTGCTCCAACCCCTTCAGGCTCCCAGCACTTGCAGATGCCTGCCTCCAAGACCCCATCATGCCTGGGAGCTGAAATTTCACAATTTGTCTCTGGAGTTACTCAGCAGCACAGGGGCACTTCAGTGCCCGTTTTTCACCTTCCTACACTCTAAAACGCAGGTCTGCCTACTCTCTATGCCCCCATTAACCTTGAGGTGAGAGGATCCACGCACTGGTTGTGGCAGTGTGGGTGTCACTGACGTCTGTGCTCACAGTAGCAAGATTGGTGGCAACTGGGCCTTGCAGTTTCTGCCGGTACCTTCTTCGGCTACACTTGAACATCTTGCGAAAGCCTGGCTGGGGGCAGCGGGAACGTGACCTACGGTAGGGAGAACTCAGACCTCGAGGCCGAGGGGTACGGAGCAGGTGAGAGGGCCCCATGGGCACAGGATGCTTCTGCAGCTTCCTGGAGGCGTGCTGCTGGCCAGGGTGGCTGAGACCTCTGTGACATATGGACCCCGCCCACCTAAGGAGGCTGCTCTTTACCCCTGGCCCCACCCCATGGCTTGGGCTCCCTCAGTTCTTTCTGCTGGGTCCTGCCCAAGGGCCAGACAACCTCAGCTTGGCCCCTTGACAAAAGGAACTCCTGGGGAAAATCACTTTTCTTTGTTCATAACCATTAATATTAGTATTTATTGAGCTCTTGCTATGGCCAGACACACGTTGAGCAGTTTCCAAGCACAATCCCATTAGAACTACAAGGAGATTCTATCATTATCTATTTATGTACAGTCCATTCTCATTATTCCCAGTAGTTCTGTTTCACAAAGTTTCTGCAAACACTGAGTTAATAAGTACTGAGCTATTACTTCTAAGGGAAATGCACAGGTTTGGGGCAAATT